TAGTGGGTTTATTATATTTTTTTAAATGAACTTTTTAATACCTTATTTTTAATTTCTGATGTGGAAAATAATGAAATATATAATGTACAGAAATTAAAGCTCTTTGGGTCTTGCGATCAAAAATTTGAGAACTACTGATTTAGCCCGAATAATTCCTTTGAAACCTTGTGTCAGTAATCCAAACCCTAGCCAGTTAGAACTGTTTGTGTTTCTATGTTGGCCTTCAGACCAAGGCCTCAGTCAGCTGCATTTTCTTCACTTCTAGGTCGGTATCTCTTTTTGAATGCAATTGCAAATCAGCTGCGGTACCCAAATAGCCACACTCATTACTTCAGCTGCACCATGCTGTACCTTTTCGCAGAGGCCAACACTGAAGCTATCCAGGAACAGATCACGAGGTGAGACAGCAGCCTATGTTTCAAGTGCTTCTTAAACAGTGCTCCTGCCTCCATTATAAATGACCTGTGTTTTCTTCCCATGCGTTCAGTATTCACTTAGCATCTTTTTATGTTCAGTAATGTGTTAGACGTGAAATATAGTTGTGAACAAAATATACATGGCATTTACCCTGCTGATGCTTAGTCTGACACGAAAATCATTGCTGGAATCAAAGGTGTGTACAGTAAAAGGCTGCATATTTTGATTGCAGGCATCGCTGAGAAATGGCATTTAACCAGGGTGTTGTATCATGTGGGCTTTGTAAAAGACTGTGTTAAGTTTAAGGATCTTGGACTGTTTCTCATTGCCAGTGGGTTAACGATTTTAAGCAGGAGAAGTAAGAGGATCATACTTCTGTTTTCCTAACGATAATTAGGAATCTGAAGTACAGTTGGTAGGTCCAACAGTAGAAATACTGTCCTGGAGAATTACACCAATTTACATAGGCACTGGCAGTGTTAGAATTCTTGTTTGCTCTTTGCTCACTTTTGCAGGGCATTTATTCAAGTGATTACTCTCTGTGTGCCATAGTAAAAAAAAGAAAAAAATACTATTCAACGTTTTGTAGATTAATGACGTACATCTCATAATAACAGATGGCAAGTTGTGAAGTGAGAGTATTGCTGGCTGTGATGGTTATGTGTCAGCTTCTCTAGGCCATGTTGTTGTTGTTTGCCGTCGAGTCAGACCCGACTCATAGCGACCCCTCCTTTGAGTTTCTGAGGCAGTATCACTACAGAAGTAGATTGCCCCATCTTCCTTCCGAGGAGTGGCTGGTGGGTTTGAACCGCCAGCCTTCTGGTTAGCAGTCAAGTGCCTTAGGCACTATGCTATCAGAGCTCCCTCTCTAGGCCATGGTCTGGTAATTATATAATGATGTAATCATCCTCCATTTTTCCTTATCACTGATTTTTTGCATACTGACCTGGTCTTTGGAATCTAACCATGCTGGTGAGTGAGGAGTGGGTGTACTATTTTCACCTTACGTTAATAGTCTTCCACTGTTCAGTAAGTGAAAAGCCAGGATTCACACACAGGTGTTCTCATTCCAGAATTCCCCTGCGTTAACCATGCTATACAGAACATAGATAATCCATCATCTTTAGAGCCAACAGCTTTTGCATGTTTTAATAATAAGGGATGAGAGTTGGAAGAAAGACAATAGAGGAATAGTCATATATGTATGTTTCTCCGTGTATTAACTTTCTCTCCTTCTCCAGGGTTCTCTTGGAACGGTTGATTGTAAATAGGCCACATCCTTGGGGGCTTCTCATAACCTTCATTGAGCTGATTAAAAATCCAGCATTTAAGTTTTGGAACCACGAGTTTGTACACTGTGCCCCAGAAATTGAAAAGTGAGTTAAAAGTGACTGTCTAGAGACTCATGTCACATCTCCAGCTGGGGAAGGGGGGCGGTTAAGGCAGTAGTGGCTCAATCAAGGGCGAAGCCAGACATGTAGTAGGTATTGTTGGGTCTGAACTTTTCCCACAAATAAAATGGTAACTGTCTCCATTCTTCAGGTTATTCCAGTCGGTCGCACAGTGCTGTATGGGACAGAAGCAAGCTCAACAAGTAATGGAAGGGACAGGGGCCAGTTAGAGGAACCGTATCTCTGTTTTAAGCTTGTCAGCCTGGAGGGCCCATTGCACCAAGTTCATGAACTGACTGAAGAATCCTTTTGGCTCCTCCTGACTTTCCCAGCCCTGTGGTTCTCGGGTATCTGCCCCCTCTGCTGTTGGGGTCAGCCTCCTGTCTATGTGGGCACGTTCCAAAGTTTAAATGCATTTTTTGACTCTTGGCCAAAATTTAGAAGATGCTGTGAATATCATTTTGAACTTCTGTAAATATATGAAAGAAAAAACCTTTGTCTGGAACTTCTTGTGTTTGTGTAAAATGTGTCCAAGGCAAATGGATAAACTGGTACCTACACAGCTTATGATAGGGAGGCAGCTACAAATGCCATGTGCTAGTCTGGGGACATAGCTCCATGTCATCTAACATTCCTTATGTCCCAAAGAATAGCAAAAAGCTAGTTTTAATATCATGTAACTATGTTTCAAATGTGGACAGGGGACCTTGGAGAAAAGTAAGCTGTTAAAAATGTGGCTATGTGGGAATCTGGCATGCCAGGGAATGTGGTGGGGGGTTCAAGATTGAGGTCCCGGTGTTTTGTCTGCTTCAGCCTTAATCCAAAGCTGACTGTGCAGGGAGAACCACAGTTGTCCCAGCTTCTTTTTGCTGAAGAGGATGCCCTCTGGGCCCTGTGAGAAGTTCTTTTTATAAAGGGAAACCAGATAAGGCCTAAAAGTTCCCCTTTTCTTTTTCCTGATACTTCTAAATTATGGAGAAAAGAAACCAAATCTTATGAACTGCCTTCCCCCATTACCATTACTTTGTTTAACAACAAAGTGAAAAGGATTAATAGCCCCTTTTGTAAGGATTTTGAATGTTTTATAGACATACTGGCCCATGTGTTGTATTTTATAGCCTTTTTAGTTCCTGGGCTTCATCTCCCCACTTCTGTCTGTGTGTGCACCCTGTGAACACTCAAGTCAGGACACGCACTTAGGGCCCCATGCATCCTCCGTGGTGCAGGTGGGGAAGAAGACAGTGGCTAGCACTCAGCTGGGCACATAAACAAGCAAGGGCAATGTTTTGTGTAGAGCATTTTTCTTCCTATTTCCTTTTCAACCGTGAAGTAGCTGGAATACGTATCTGTGGTTAAACTGGATTACAAAAAAGTCCATTTTTTCAGCATCCTCTACTGTATGTATTTAATGAGTAGGTATGTATATATTCGGAACTTTTCTCAATTACAATTTACCTTACCTTTAGGGATGAGTGTCAGGTTTTAAGAAAGGACAGTGCTCAAAATTATCTTACACGACTGGGGCTTAAATGGCCTTAGGGTCCATTTCCTGAAGGGTGGTTTGTAGCACTGGGAGCAAACTTGAGACTGCTGATCGCAAAACTGAGTGTGGGTGTAAAGCAGCCGCCTTCTCACAAAATACTGTCTTTCAAGAAGGTGAAGTAAGTCAAAGTAGACCCAGATTGAAACCAGCTCTACCTTCCATGTTATTAAACACTAGAATATAAATGACAAGGCCTGTTAACTACCACATTCTGCTGGCTTTGGCTGAAACAGAACAGCCAAAAAATTTTGTTCTCAGTGACAGCAGTGACTCCCAAGTCTGTCTCCAGTTCTTAAACATGTCACCCTCACCTCAAAATTCATCCCAGTGTAACCCCTTTGCTACTCTTTCCTTTGGTGTTTAACACCAATATCAAGGTCCAGATTGCGCTCTTTAAGCACCACTGACTATCCACTTACAACAAAGCTGTTCTCATCTCTGCTCCTTCAGGCAACAGGGCAGCCTACTTACTTGTCAGTTGCAACAAGTTATGTAAGATCATCTTCTGACCATAGCGAACCTGTAAGGCCTGCTGTTCCCTCCAGCTGAGTTGAGCATACGCCTCCTTATTACTGAGTAAATCTTGCTCAGTTTTTAAGTCTGTGGCATAGGTTTGTAGGGTCAACAAAACACTGTTCCGAAGAAGCTGTTTCCACGATGCTCTGAGCTTGGGGATATCTGTGATTGTCAGGCTGTCCTCTCCCCTGTTATCTTCCCATCCATCCTGGTGTTTAAACTCTCTGAACTCCTCGGCAGACATGCACAGTACCTGCAGGCAACCACAAGACAAGGCCTTGTAGGGTGCACTAGTTGTGTACCTTGGAAGGTGGGTTAGAGGAGACTCCCACCTGTCTTCCCACCATTTCCTTTTTGTCCTCTTTCACCTCCCATCTTCTCACTCAGCCCTTTACCTTGAGTGTGGTAGTCAACTCCTCTTCAGTTATCACTTCCTCCCACCCAATCACAAAGGCTCCTTCTTCCCCTACCATCTCCAGCTGGCATAAGAAATCCCAACGTTCACGTAGTAGGAGCCTTTCAGCTTCAACTTTTGTTCCTGTAGAAAAAAGCAGTCAGTGTAAAAGGGCTCATTTCTCCTTTACCACCTAGTCTAACTCCCCCTGTGGGGGTGGGGCTGCTGTTTAGCAAAGCTGCTGAACTGGGGGGTGGGAAGTGAGGGAGGGAGGTAAGTGACAAATCTGCCAATGTCCAAGATAGATCACGCACCCCGTAATGCAGCTTCACAAACTGTCACCATCTGAATGTCAGCTGTGTCGTTCGTGTTGCCAGGATATGGTTCAACAAAACCGTACATGTGAATCAGCTGCCAATTAGCCATTTGTCCGTAAGTATTGAAAATCTCATGGCCTTTAGGAATGGGCTGGGTGGCAACCATCTGAAGACAGTCCTAACGTGGAAGAGAGCAGCTGTGGCCAGGCCTTTCCCAGGCCAGCCCCAGATGATTTCCCTTTAGAGGAGCCTCCAGTAGGTGTAACTCAGCCATACGCCTGATGCTGATGCCACGTGCCCCTGTAATTCCTTTTTGACCCTGTGCTATAGGATGAAAGGGCTGAGGCTTACAAAGGTCAGCACAGTGTTTCATTAGGTGGATCTTGATCGCTCGGTCATCATCAGCATTTACAGAGTTGTTTGCTTTGAAGAAGAATTTAAACCCAGATCACAGTGGGGAGAGATGATGGAAGCAAGGATTAAGAAATAATAACCTTGTTTCTTAATTTCATCAACTCTTTCCTTGCAACTTTCTGTGCAGCAAATAGTCGAGTAACCACAGTCTTGGGAAAGTCCTAGACCCCTGACATACGAAAACCCTCTCAGTAGTGAGACTAGATGTCTCAGGCTGCTGTCCACAGGACCCTTACACTACCCTGGCTCCCTGGTGCTGCACGGAGCACAACCAACTTCCAGCTCCAAATAAAGGACAACTGTCTTCTGGTGTTTGAAAATAAAAGTCTGTTCAAACATTTTTATTGGGATTAAGCTTAATTAAAAAGCAAGGAGATGCAGGAAGAGTGGACTTAGCCGATTACCAGGCCAGCAAAAAGGGCACCCTAGTTTGAATTACATGCTCCCTCGATTCAGACAGAAAGGAACTGGGCAGGATCTACTCACTGGTGAGTATTCTAGATTGGCATTGTAATTAGCTAAGTGGTTTAGTATGTCTGCAGCAGGCACCATCAATGGGGAATTCGGCTCCTTCTCATCCTCCTCTTCCTCCAGTGGTTCCTGAAAGCTGACAGGGAGAAAACTTGGCTAAGGCCCAGTCTTGGGTGATGATGTTCACTGTTTTGTCCCCAGTAGGTTCCAACCACCAATAGTTGCATGCGAAAAAGGTCCGGGCCTCCAAGGTTCCATTCCCTGACCTGTAGGCCATCACAAGAGCCACGAGCTGCTGGTAGAGTTCTAGGGAGCGAACCCTGGAGCTGAAGAGATTGGGATGGGATTCCATGAAAGGCAGGACTATGGAATAGTACTCGCTGCGGATGTTGGCCAAATCCTTCTCCACGGCCTCGGGCACACCTGTGCCCTGGAGCAGTCGCCGGCGTTCCTCCTCGGGCCTGTAGTGACACCCCCAGCCCGGTTCCCTTCACACACCCTACCAGGACTGGCGCTCGGGGCCCTGTCTCCCAGACAGGGTGGCTGAAACAGGCTGAGCTGCGAGCACCCCCAGCCCCTTCCACGGCTCTCACCAAAACATGGGGTGCTCCAGGCGGCCCAGCTCGGGCCAGAGGGCGAAGTAGGGGCTCCAGGGCGAGGCCGGGGCCTGCAGCTCGTGGAGCAGCGCCAGCAGCAGAGGCACCCAGCCCGACTGGCTCTGCAGCGCGCCTCGCTCTGCGGGAGACGCAGGGGTAAGGGCCCCGGCGCCGCGCAGTGCGGCCCGGCAGCCCTGCCCGCCGGCGTACCCACCTCGTTCTAGCAGGCCGCCGATGGAGCAGGTGTGCTCAGACAGGAGCGCGGCCCGCGGCACCGCGAACAGGAGCTCCCCGGGCTGCACGGTCTCCCGGGCTACCATGCCGTAGCGGGCCACCGTGCCCTGACTGCTCACCGCCACCTGAGCAAGCAAGGGCCGGGTCTGGTCACGACTGGCCCGCGCTCGCGTCGCCCCTCCCAGCAGCCAGCGCCCCGCCAACTCTCTCACCTTGGGACTCAGCTCCAACCCCATCCGCCCGCACCAGCTCAGGAAGCCCGCCACCGGGTCCGGATCCGCGTCACCGCCGCCCATGGAGCCCGCCAGCTGAGACAAGCGAACGTACTGGAGAGGCCCCACTCCAGAAGGCTCGCTGGGGTCTGCGGGAGGGGACAGCGGCGCGTGCGCGCTCGGGGAGGCAGGGCTCCGGGTGGGGGAAGGGGCGCGCAGACAGGGGCAGGTGACCCGCGGGAGGGAGCAGAGGGGGCGCGCGCGGAACAGAGCTCCAGGACCGAGTGCAGGAGGGGCGCAGCGGCGAGGGGTGGGCCCTGCGCCAGCTGCCCGGGACTCACCCGCCGGCGCTTTGCCTGGGTCGCCATGGTCCCAGCGCGCAAGGCCCAGGCTCTCGGTAGAACCAGAAGGCGCTTCCGGCGCCTTGGCCATGCCTCCGGGGCGGGGCCTTACGGAGGCGGGCCGCTGGCCCTAGTCCCGCCTGGCACTGGAGCCTGAAGATTTCAGCAACCAATGGTGGGGATTTGCTCTAGGTCAAACAGTTCGTCCTGAAAAAATCCTTTCTGAGGGCAGCTACCCCCACTTGAAGGAGCCCAGGTGGCACAATGGTTAAGCGTTGGATCCTAACTGAAAGGTCGGCCGTTGGAACCCACCAGCTGCTTTGCGGATACGGCAGTCTGCTTCCATAAAGATTACAGCCTTGGAAAACCTACGGTGCGGGAGGAGGGAAGTCATACTGTATCCTGTAAGGTCGCTAGGAGTCGGAATGGACCCCACGCCAGTGAGATTGGGGCCCCCAGTGAGTTCAGAAAAGGCGTCGTCCGAATACAGGAAGAAGTGGCCCAGTGCCACCTGCAACCTGTTTCTGAGCCAGGTACAATTCCCCTCTTTGACGAATCTCCGAGAGCTGGGACCTCAGGAGATGAAAGTCTGGGTGCCAGAACAAAATTCTGTTTCTGAATCGGAAACCGAAGGCCCAGCGACTGGCTGGAGGAAAACGCAAGAAGGCGCCCAGAACCCTGTGTTAGCTACGGTTTTGCTGCTGTTGGCTCAGTTGCGGCAGGTAATGATCTGGAATAGGTCCTCTCCCCCGCTCACCCCGCACTCGCTAGCCTACCTTTCCGTTTTCTGTCTGTGTATCACATATCGGGTATTATTTTTGTTCATTTACTTGGTTCTTTATTAGCTGACATAACAGAGACTCAGTATTTATTGAGTAAATGAATGAAGTATGGTGGTTAAAAATGGGCAGCGAAGTAACATGCTGTTCAGTTTAAGGAACCAGACAGCAAATACAGAGGTTACAAGTACATAGAGGTTTGGAAGTCAAACAAGGGCAAATTCAGCTCCCAGAATAGCCTCCTCTTAGGGCAAATATCTTATCCTCAAGTTCGATTTTCTCATCTGTAAAAAAGCAGTATCACCTATCCTGCAGAATTTATGTAAAGACTAGGAGAATAAGGTGTCAAGTGCTACAGACACAGAGACAACGAGGACAGTCCCTGGCCTTCCTTTTGCACCCTCAACCCCACCTGCACCCAAGAAGCACCAGCCTAAACATGCTCTCTTCATGGGCATGGTATCACCACCACTCACATTCTTCTTAGGGTCTTTATTATTTTTCAGCACAGTTAACGCTTTCTACTTGACAAGGGTTTTTATTTGTTTTACATTTTGTCATCTCAGAGTCTCATGAGCCACCAGAATACACAAAATTAGACGATTCTCACTTTATACAGAGAGAAAAATAATAAATTCCATTAAAAGTTCAACTTGATGGGAGAAAGCAGAGACTACCTCCAATGGAAAACCACACAAAAGACCCAATATACATACATACATATATATATATACTGTATAGATATTTATAGATCTGAAAGAACACAGCAAAAAAAAAAAAAAAAAGTCCCAAATTCGCAGTGCTGTCTACAGGATGAGGGATTAACTCTACCAGCTTTTCAAACAATCTTGTTCAATAGTCAAAGGAAGCATTTGAATGACTAAAACTGGGAACAGACTAACCTCCACCAGGCTCTAGCAGTCTAGTAATGGCTTCAGATTATTGAAGGGGGTTAAGTGGTGATGTGTGCAGAAGAAATGCACCCAGGCAGTTGTTCTCAGCCTCAGAACCCCCCACCACGCACCCTCCCTCTCCACAGCCCTTTGGTTTTCATTGCTACCTCCATTCTTTTTGCTTGTTTGGGGATTTGTGGAAATTGATTTAGGCTCTGAGACAAACGAGTCCTGGTTTTGAGCCAGGAGAGTCTACCTGGCAAGGTGCGTGGGTGGGAAGGACTTCATAGTCCGGGGCTTCAGGGGCAGGGGTGTGTCAGAAGCCTGCCACTCCAGGACCCAGCAAACCCCAGCCCTAGCCCACTCCAGCTGGCTGAGATGACAGAGATGAAGGACTGTGCACCCATTCTCTCTAGATGACCTAGCTCTTCCTTAAGGATGCCTACATGGAAAGTTAGCCGAGGTTGACCAGAAGTCTCCCTAGAAACATCATGGGGCCACATCCTGTTGACTGGGGCAAAGCAACTCTCAGTCCCCATTGCCTTTGGCCATTTGTGGACAACACACATGGGTTATCTCAACTTTTTCCATCAGTCTCACTATGGAAATGGTCAACTTCTGCCTCAGGGACAGGATCAGACTGTGGTGGGTTAGAATAAACTCCCTTTAGAAGCCCTGTGTACAGGGCCCTACTGCACCAGCCAGGCCCAGGGAACACCAGGAAAACATCTGCCTGCTAGGCGCGCCCCCTTGTGGCTGTCCAGATGATTGTCACATGTACTAAAAAAAATACAGATGTGCTTGGTATAGGGTTGGGGGAGAAAGGCCTTCAGAGCTCGGGAGCTCCTCACCCCCAGTGCTCCCCATTACTGTCTCCTGGCTCTCATCTCAGTACCTGAGCTGAACCCCATGCTCCTGCTGCCTCAGCACCCACCACCCCCTCAAACTCCATCCTGTCCTCAAACCTGCTTGCCCAAGAGGTCATCTCATGCTCTTTCTGGAATCTACTAAACTATCCTGGATCCTGGCCAGAGAAGGACTCAGACTCTTGCCTTCCTCCCTGTATCCCCGCACTGTCTGTCTGTGCCTGGGTCACTAGGGGTTGGGGGAGGAGGTCTAATTCTACCAAGTTGAGCTGAGTGAGTTAGGGGTGGGGAGTAGTGAGCCCCTCAAACCATCTGGAGACTGGCTGCAGCATGTGAGATAGACCCCCTCATTTTTTTTTTTTTTTTGAACAAAAGAGAAGTAACCCCATTTCCTCCCCTATCCCCTCACAAAAATAAGCTAAAGGGAAAATGAGCAGGCAGGCGCAAGGATGGCGGTGGGATGACAGGTCAGTGTGGGCGGGCAGGTTGCTGTCTTCGGCTGGACCCAGGGCTTCAACAGGACACTTCCATGGTGTGGTTGACCTGGCCCAGCCCCTCGCTGCTCTCCGAGTGGGTGCAGGGCTGTGGGCGGCTGCCATCCGCTGAGCTGGCGCTGGTGAGGGAGGCGGTGCGAGATCGAGCCAGGCGGGTCATGCTGGCTGAGGGCACTGTGGACAGAGACGGGTCAGGCTGAAAGACCAGGAGGCGGAGTCGGGCACCAGCAGGCAGGAAAAGGATACACGCAAGCAAAGCAGCCAGCGAGAACCAACCTTCCAAAGGCACAGAGGCTCACCCCAAGCCAGGCCTCTGGGGCTGCTCCATCCAGCCCGAGGCATGCAGCATCAGTAACAGTGAGGGAGCCAAAGGGGCTGGGCAGAGGCCAGCAGGACCCTCGCTTAATAGCTGACCAGAACCAAGGCCAGTCTTAAGGTGGGAGCTGACCGAGCACCCCTGAGCTGCTGCAGGGATGTGGCATTTCCAACTCTGCTTCCCTCAAGAGGATGTTGCAGGGGGAGGGTGGCCAGGGCTGCTTCCAGAAAGGAGGATGGGGTCTGGTGGCCTCAACTGTGCTAACTCAACATCTTCAGAGTTTCATCAGTAAGACTTGCAGGGAGAAAATTCTACCTTCTAAACTCAAGTGGTCATCTCTTCTGGGCTCAGGCATGGCCAGGTACCACTGCCCTCAGGGCCAGGCCTGGGCTCCACCTCTGAGGACGTAGCTTCTGGTGTCAACTCCCAGACCTCTGGAAGCCATGTAGCCCATGGCAATCTAGAAGCAACAATGTGCTAACGCCCAGCCAGTCTAGTGCCCCACAACGGACCAAATCCCACAGTGGGCCAGGACCTGCGGAAGAGCAGGCAGCTTTTGGGCTTTTGAGTTGAGCAGGACACATGAAGTTTCCACACCACATAAGAGACGGCCTGGCTGCAGCACTGCACAGGGGAAGGAGCAGGGGAGGCTGGCGGGGGGCGGGGGGGTCCATGCAGTGGTGGGGGTTGGCCACAGGGCTACCTGCTCCTCCACTCAGCCTTCGGTCCTTCAAGTATGCAACTAAGAGAGAAGACAGAGCCAGAGAGGGGTGGGCGGTGGGGAGACACAAAACATGGTCAAGAGCGTGGTCCACCGACGCACCAGGCATTGAGATAGGCCAAAGAGATGAGACCAAAGAACAGGTACAGGGAGGGAGCCCACTCTGGCCCACCCACTGAGACAGTGGCCCCCGAAAGGAACAGCAGCACGGACAGTGTACCTGGTGCCTGAGGGAACCCTGACAGCGCGGTGGAGGTACTCATCTGGGCCTCCTTCTTTAGCCTGGGTGCTGCCACTGAGTGGTCCATGTCCTAGGGTCATTCTGGGTCCATATCCTAATTACAGGGCCCTCCCTACTCTGCTGGGCCTCAGTTTCCCCAGGTGTAGGATTGGGAAGGCCTGCACAACCTCCACTATCCCTCTCAATTCTTGGGCTGCCTGGGCCCCTGAGAACACGTCTCAGAACCTGGGAAGTGTGACTCATCCATTCGTCCCACAAATGTCTGCTGAGTATCTGAGTGAGGTGCAGCCATGGAGCACCAGCTGCACCTCACTGTGGGCCTTGGCCCCCCTTTGTCCCACTTCTCCAAAGAGGCCACAGGCCCTGGGGGCCGGAGGGAATCTATGCCAGACATGATCCCCAGCCTCCCCCACAGCCCGGCCCCTCCTGTCCTTCCTAAGGGGCCTACGGTCCAGAGGCACTAGTCTGGAGGGAAAACAAATTCAGGGCTGGAGAGGAGCCAGGCAGTGTGTGTGTGTGTGTGTGTGTGTGTGTGTATGCTTGGGACAGGCACACGACCACAGCCTGGAGTCTCCCGTCCCTGCACAGGGGGAAGGAAGGGAGGGACATGAGACAAGAAATCAGCTTCATCCCCATCCCACAGCCCTTACGACCGCAGGGTCCTCAGATATGCACTCCCAGGTTTGGCTGCCTTCAGCTCTCCTGACACCTAGGAAGTCCCACCTGCCCTCCCTGGTCCCAAAGCTTCAAGTCTACTCCCATGATGCCCCTGGGTGCCATCCACCACCTGTGACAGAGGGTTTTTGCAGGTGCTGCAGGCCCAGCTATGCCACTGGGGCTCAACAGGAATGAGTGGTGTGTCCCTTGCAAGACCGAGCCCCACTTCTGGTCCCCCAGGGCTGGGAGAAGAGCCTGGCCACCACCACAGGGCCAGCACCACCACCATAACAGCACCCCAAGGCCTCCCCAAGGGCATTGGTGAGCTGGGCCCTGGGATGCTCAACTTACAACTTAGGTGGAGACACCTTTGTGGGTCATTATGTGTCCTCCACAAACATAGGAGTGTGTGGGGAGAGTCAGCCAGCATCCTGGGCCCAAGTGACAAACAGTTCTTAACACTCACAGGCTCCCCAGCACCAAACATCTGGGTGCCAACCCACCAGTCTCCAGGGTAGGGGTCAGGTAGGGGCATACTTACTATAGCCCATGCCTTGCAGGAAGTATTTGAAGGCTTCTGTCAGCTTCCCAGGCTGCAAAGGGGATGGGACAGGGACATACTTTGACTGGTTGCCTGTAGCTAAGGGGAGACTGGTGGCAAGGAAGGGAGGGCCAAGAGCCTCACCTGTGTGACCTGGGGGAGCCCCCCGGAGTCTGCCATCTGCAGGGGAGAGAGCGAGGTCAGGTGAGCAGGGGCCACCCCGCCCTGGCCCTCCCACATGTGGACAGGCTCCCCTGACCAGACACACGTCCTGCTCCCGTCCTTCCCTGAGGCCGGGCCCCAGTGGGGATCTGGCCCAGGGCTGGGCCGGGAAGGCCTCACCTTTAGGAAAGTGGTGGTGGTTGGGTCCAGTTTAGAGTTGCACTCAACCTGGGGGCAAGAAACTAGATTCAGCAGGGAGCAAGGTCTCCTCTAGCCTAGGGCATGGGGTGCTGGGGGGGAATCCTGGCCAGCCAGTTGCTAACATGGGTCCTAGACCAGAGCTAGGGGGTCTCTACTGGCAAGGAGAGGTGAGGGAGGGGAGCCAGACATAGACTTAGCTCCTAGGACCCAGGCAAAGCTGTCCCTCCCCAGGCCAAGTCCCTAGAGACCAGTCAGCAGTGCCGTGAGGGGTCTGAGAACCTGGGGCTCCACTTACAAGGGCTGGTGGGGTAGGCACGGGGCAGAGCCTAGGCCAGGGCCACCCTGGCAAAGTTGCCTGCAAAAGCACCCAGGACCACAGGACTCAGAGCAGTGACCCCAGGGCAGATGCCAAAGGTCAGCAGGACACTCTGACACCTCTACCTGGGTTAAGGTGGCCAGCACAGCCCATTCCCCTGCTCTGCCAAGCCCTCCTCGAGTCACAGGGAGGCTTGGCAGTTTCCACCCACCTGGGGAATGCCCTGGGTATCTTGCCCGCCCCCCTTCTGCAGCTGCCTTGTACTGAGGGGGACATGCTATCCCCAGCTGCCTTTGCTCAGGATCCAATATGAAAGGTGAGACGTGGTCCCCTAACAGATGCAAAGCAGTGGTCAGACAGCACCATGAGCTACTTATTTTATGATGAATAACTCCAATTGGAAAGAAAAGAGAGCGCTTAGGTCTAAAGTGGGCAGAGGCAGGGTGGGGGCTGCACTGCTGGGGAGGGGCAGAGAGAGGGCCATGGGTGGCCTAGCTCTGGTCTCTGTGCCCCATGTCCATGCCTCCCTCCCCTGAAGGATGGGGAGGGGGACACCAGGCAGTGACAAGCGGCCAGATGGCAGGAAGTGGGATGAAAAGTGCAGTGCCTGTCCCCAAGGCTACGTGGGGCTGGGATAAGAAGGAGCCTTGTTGGCCAGGGGCCGGTTGACACCCTCCTCCTTCTCACTCACAGGACACAAACCACACTCACCACCCCATCCTCAGCAGGTGCACTATCCCCGACGACCAGCATCACGGGGCAGCTGCAGACAGAGGAAAAGAGGTGTCTGGTCCAGGAAGTGGAGCAAAGGCAGGGGTGGGCAGGAAGGTGAGGGAGGACTCACCGGAGCGTCTTGGCATTGGGCACGGTCCCAGGTCGGTTAATGTCCAGGTCTCTGCGGCTGGGAGTCGGGGGACAGAGGCAGAGGTTGGCATCCCAGCAGGACTGGGCCCCGAGGGAGTCCCCACACCTGACACTGACGTATTTAGGCCCTATCTCATCGCTCCCTAACGGCTATTGTAGCCCACCATCCCCAGAACCCCCTGGGTTGGTCTCAGAGCCAGAGAGCTGGGCTCCAGGCTCACTGGCAGTGGGACCCGTTGTTGGAACAAGGCCGCACACATTCCAATTTTTGAAGTCGGGGAATGTGGACTTGCCCTGCGTACACAGGGGCCTTCAGGGCTCCCCTGGTGCACGACTTCTTCCCAGACTCCCGATTCATTCCAACTCTTTCTCCACATGCTCCCGCAGCACTCATGGTGAGGGGCAGCACCACCTGTGTTTGGGGGGTTTTCCGCCACCAGCAGTTTCCCAGACACATGGGAGGGGGGGCCAGGTCTCTCCGCTTGGCCACTGTTTCTCAGCCCCACTCATAAGGAGGTGCTCAATAAACACAGAGAGAGAAGATGGCAGACTGGCTGCCCCCTATAGGGAAGCCCCCGAAGGCGCTCTAAGGAGCAAAGCTGTTTTCAGTGTTCCCTAGGGCTCCCCTGCCAGCTCTGTCCCAAAGGAGGGCGAGTGGACAGAGCCCTGTGTCCAGGCCCCTCTCTGCCCCTCGGCAGGGTGAGATGTGACCCTGGGCAAGAAGTGAGCCCTCTCCAAGGCTCCACCTGCTCATCTACAAAATGAGGGTCGCTATGGAGCTTGGCCTGCCTCCCATGGGTGGTTGCAGGAGACACGGGGCGCTCCAAGTCCCCGGCTGCCAACCCTGCCCACACCTGTTGTACATGTTCCAGAAGAGTTGCAGGTTGGCCTGATTCACCACGTTCGCAATCTGCTGCCGGTAGCTCTGCACCAATTCTGTGTTGTTTACCAGCTCCTCCTGGGAGTGGACAGGAGTGCACAAAGGGGAGCAGGCAGAGGGACACAGGCTGAGCCGGCTGGGGCATGGGCGTCATGGCCGGCCCAGCTCGCAGAGGGCCCTGATGGGGGCGGGGCCCCTGGTCAGACTCCCACCCAGATCCATTCTTCTGATTCAGTGGGCGCTTGGGTGATGGAACAGAACAGAATACAAAGGGAGACACCCAGATACCAAATAACCACCCGTCTGCCTGCCTGGCACCCCTTTGACTGTCTGCAAGCAGGCAAACCCAGGCTCCTAAAATGGAGCAGAGATATCCCAAACCCTTACCCCCTTACCTGGCTGAAGAGGTGGGATAGCACCGTGTCAGGTAAAGTGCTGGTCAGACCGGAGAGCTGCAGGCCGAGGTGGGAGCCAATGTGTCTGACTGCCTGTCCCTCACATCCCCATCCCCCCTCCCAGACCAGTCACTCCCACACTCACCTTGGTGGCAGCCCAGTCGATCCAGCCTTTGCCGTTGGGGTCAATGTTCATCAGCACCAGCCCCTCGACCAGGTCAGGGAAGATAAGCTGCAGGAGAGGGAGACAGCTAGGTGTGCAGGGTGAGGCACAGGGAGCCCCCATCTTCCCACCTAGAAATGGGCTTCAAAAAGCTGGTCCTGCCCACTTCACGGGCGGCTGGGGGAGGTTGGTTAAAGGAGATGGAAATGCCCTGCACAGGCTTCAGGGTGCCACTGATGAGACAACGGGCTACAGCTGGGAGTCCACTGGGGTCACCGCTTCCAGGTGTCCAAGGGCCTCCCTCCCTCCGTGTTAGTAGCAGTCTAGTCGACTGGACTCATAGCAGTCCCTGGGTGGTGCAGACTGTCTGCAGTACCATTAGAAAGGCCTGGCAATCTGCTCCCATCAGCATTACAGCTAAGAAACCCTACGGAGCAGCTGCCCTCTGTAACGCAGGGCATCACCTCCCTCTGCACCTCGAGCCTTTTAAAATTCTTTGCTTTATTTAGAACCTATAACAGTATTACTGTTTTCCACTGCTTTTAATATATCTTTACAAAAATGAGGCACTATGGTGGCACAGTGGTTAAAGCATTTGGCTCCTAACCAAAAGTCAGCTGTTTGAACCCACCAGCTGCTCCAAGAGAGAAAGAAGAGGCAGTCTGCTTCCATGAAGATTTATGGCCTTGGAAACCCTATGGGGAGGTTCTATTCTGTCCTACAGGTTCTCTATGAGTCAGAATCAACTCAGTGGCAGTGGGTTTGGGGTTTGGGTATAAAAGTGGATATTATACATCTTAAGCAGAACATTTTGTTATGAAGCCCTAGTGACTGAAATGAAGACACTGGCCTATTGCCAGCTTGTTTTGTGTTGGACATGGTAACCAAACCAAAAACCAAACCAATTGCCATGGAGTCTCTTCCAACTCAGCGACGCTATAGAACTGTCTCATAGGGTTTCCAAGGCTGTAATCTTTACAGAAGCAGATTGCTGCTACATCATTCTCTTGTGGAGGGCTGGTGGGTTCAAACTGTTAACCTTTTGGTTAGCAACCAAGTGCTTAACCACTGCACCACCAGGGCTCATTGGACATTATAAAGCATATCTGCATTTTCTTTTTAACTGCCCCCATTTAGGGGAAAATGGTAATATACTCACTATACTAGAGTCATGCCAAGTTTGGGATGGCAGGGAATGGTCAGTTAAGAAAATAGTCATGTGTTGAAAGTTGGCAATTGGAGTTGAAAATACTCAGTCATCTGTGTTGTGGTGGTGGTGGTTGAGTATATACACAGCAGAACATACACCAGTTCAACAGTTTCCACATGTACAGTCCAGTGACATTGATTACATTCTTCAAGTCGGGCAACCATTGTCACCCTCCTTTTGCAAGTTGTTCCTCCCCCGTTAAGATAAATTCACACTGCTCCTTAAGTTTCCTACCTGATCTTTCTCTTATCAATCTGATTCTGTATCGATAGATCAAGGCACACATTCTTTACTAATTAACCTAAACTATTACTTGGTATTATGGAGTTCTGGTAGCACAGTGCCTAAGGCACTTGACTGCTAACCAGAAGGCTGGTGGTTCAAACCCACCAGCCACTTGTCGGAAGGAAGGTTGGGCAATCTACTTCTGTAGTGACACCGCCTTGGAAACCCAAGGAAGGGTCGCTATGAGTCAGGTCCAACTTGATGGCACATAACAACAACAACATTATTTGGTTTTAAGAAGACTTCAGGGGATGTTTTTGATTTAAGGTTTAAAGATGATCTCAGGACAATAGTTTCAGGTGTTCATCCAGTCCCCGTGGATCCATGAATCTTTCTGGATTCCATACTTGGCCATTTGTTTTGATGAAAGGTTTTGAATCTTAAAAATTAAGTCTTTGTTTTTAGACATGAGAAGTTCGTGGGGTCACACCCAATATGATGTTTTTCAAATATGACTTTCTTTAAATCTCACAAGCTTAACATAAGGGTAATTTTGGTGCAAAACTTATTCACGTTTAATGATTACATTAGTGGCGCAGTGTCTAAGGCATGTGACTGCTAACCAGCAGCTTGGTGGTTCAAACCCACCAGCTACTCCATGGAAGGAAGACTGGGCAATCTATGCCTGTAAAGATTTACTGCCTTGGAAACCCAATGGGGGTCACTATGATTCAAAATCGACTTGATGGCAGTGCATTAATTAGTGAAGGGCCATCCTTATTTAGTTGCTAGAATAATTCATTGTGCAGTTTGGTGGTAACAGAAATTTTGGTTTTGAGTAACAGTTAAGCAAGTTATAGTTTATAGTCTTCTGAGGAAATGTATGGAAAAAGTAATGTTTTTTTTAAAAAAAAGAAGTCAATTTCCTTGGAGGAGAAAAAGAAAAAAAAGTCTTGTAAATGAAAAGGAAGTGAGGATGTGGAGAAGAAAGAAAGAGCCGGAAAATCTCCCTGGGGCCAGAGCGTTGCCCCCAGAAGAGACTTGCCTGGGCTGCTGATGCAGGCCCACGGGCAGGGCTGGGGGGCTATGGGGGCTTACTGCAAACTTGGCCAGCACATAGGCTCCGGCTCCCACTCCGATGCCGATCACGTACTTGAACCTGGGAGAGAGAACAGCTGGTAAATCTAGGGCTGTGGGGCCATTCCCCACGGATGACCCTTCCCCTGCCTCCATGGGGTATTAGCACCCAGAGCAGACCCCACCCTCATCCCTCAGCTGGCGCCTGGCGGCTCTGTGGTGGTATCACGCACGCCCTACTCCCAGCACAGGGAAAGGGTGGGCCAGGACTCACCCAAAATGCTGCACCACGCTGGGAAGCATGGCGGCCAGCTGCTCCATGGAGGGGAACTGGTACCTGCGGGCGAAGCAGGAGGTCAGGGCTCAGGGCAGCCTGGGTGCAGAGCTGGGAAAGACTGGGAGCCTTGGGGTACCTACCCCTGAGGAAACTGCGACGCCCCCACCTGCTGCCCAGGGGCGTCGACGTGACACACCACAAAGTGCTTGGTGATCTCCTGCATGTCCTCAAAGTTGAACAGGGTGTTGAAGCACAGCTTGTCTGCAAAGACACGGTGCTCAGCTGTGGCTGAGCAGAGCGGGCAGGAGAGGCTGAGAGGGCAGTGAGGCAGCGGGCTCAAAGTCATGGGCAACGGAAAACAGAGCCAGAGCTGAGCTGGGGGCTCTGTGGGAGGGAGGCGGGGAGGCCTCACTGCTCTGGTGGACTGGAAGGCCGAGAAAGGCTGCACACTTACGGTTGAGGCCCACGTCATGGTAGGTGAGGATGGCAGGGCGGTTTCCCTTGGGGGAGCCACGGATTACCACATGCAGAAGGCCGTAAGGCGTCTCAATGTCGTGCTCCTAGAGGGGACAGACAGCTGGACATTCCGGGCAGCCCCTGCTCCTAGCTCTTCTAGGAGATGAAGCTATGGGCTGTGGGGCTGGTGGTGGGGTCCCCACTCAGGACATCCCATTCTCATCACCCCAAGCAGCCCTCAGAGAAGCCAGACCAGATAGGGAGGCCCTTCCCAGGTATGTTAAGGAACACTGTGAACTGGTCTTTGTGGAGAAGTGCTGGGCCCCTCATATACCAGCCAGCAGCCAGCCATACTGCCCTGGCCCAGCCCTGCCTTTCACTCAGTCTTCAAGGGCCCAGTGAGACCTGTTTTCTCCATCTTGCTACAGTACCTTCGAGACAGCCTCCCCACTGGCCCCTTCACCCCAGCCTGAACCCTCAGTCCCACTGTGGTACCCCTCAACTCAGAACCCTTTCAGGACTCCCTGCTTGTGAAGGAGGGATGACCTCCATGGCCCAGGCTAGACCAGGGCTAGTTGCTGTACGGGAACTCTGGTAGCGTAGTGCCTAAGGCACTTGACTGCTAACCAGAAAGCTGGTGGTTCAAATCCACCAGCCACTCCTCGGAAGGACGGTTGGGCAATCTACTTCCGTAGTGATACTGCCTTGGCAACCCGAGGGGTCACTGTGAGTCGGAGCCGACTCGACGGCACGTAACAACAAGTTGCTGTACACTCAAGGCTACCCCATGTGGGTCAGGGTAGGACTGGGAGCTTCCACTGGCTGCTTTTCAGAAGCAGATCACCAGGACTTCCTTTCGAGGCCCCCTGGGTGAACTCAAAGCACCAACCTTTCAGTTAGGGGCTGAGTGTGTTAACTGTTTGCAGCACCCAGGGGCTCCAGCTAGAGTCTCCGGTTAACACCTCCATGCCAGCCAAGCCCAACCACCCACCACTCAACTCCGGCACCTGTCCCTGGTTCCAACCTCCAGGCTCCTGCTCAGCTGGTCCTTCCATCTTCAATGCTCTTCCCCAAGTCCTCTCTTTAGCCAGGTGCCCGGTTAGAGAACTATTCCCTCCCCAAAGGCCTTCCCAGTGCTCGCTGCTCTGGGATCCTGTGTTCACATGCTTGGTTTTGCAGCTCAAGGTCATCGGTCCATCAGCAAACAGTGGATCTAGATGCTGCAGGTTCTAGACCTGGTCTTGCCACTAGTGTGTGACTTTGAGCAGAGTACATCACCCCTCTGTCTCCTCTCATCTGGAGCCATCTCTCAGGGACTTTGTGAGAACTAGCCACATGGATGCCTGGAACATTTAGTACTTGGTTCCAGAAAGGGGGCTGCAGTGCTTGCGCCTCCCTGAGCCCTGGGGTGACCGCCTGGTCCCTTTGCAGACTGGTCACTCAGCTGCTCCGTTGGGATACTCCAAGAGGGTCTGTCAGAGCTGAATGAACAGCCCCACCCTGCACCATGGAGGACCTAGGGCTCACAGCAGGTGGCCCTATAAACTGGAGGTGAGCCAGGGTCAAGGACAAGAGGGAAATGGCAGGTGTCAGGCTCTTTCCTCTATTTTGCAGATGGGGAAACCTGACCTCAGAGAGGCCTGAGGCCACACTTGGCCCAGGAGCCAGGACTAGAACACAGGCCTCCACAGTGAAGCTGCTTTGATGGTGGCCTGTCCATGCCCTGAGGCTGCTGCTTTCTCTGCATTCCCTGGACTGCCTCAAGCTGAGAGGGGCAGAGCAGGTGTCTTGGGAGCCTTTGAGTGCTGAAGGGCAACGACCTCAGGCAGAGGGAATGACTCTGATAGGAAAGGGGAAACTCAGGTGACAGGAGTCAGCTTCCCAGGCACTGGCTTTCTTGGGCCTGGGCCCAGAGGACCATTATCTAGGCCTGTGACTCTAGCAGGGGTAGCCAAAGGCCACCCCTGGGAGCCGCCCTTCTACTATGAGGTCCTGTTTACTTCCCTTTTGTCTTTCAGGAGAATCCCATACCGTTCACAGGTTCCCCCTCCCTCAGGACCATCCTCCCTCAGCCTGAGGGAGAGGGCCAGTCAAAACAAGGAACACTTCCTGCTTGCTGACCACTGTCCACTTGCTGGACACTTTTCTCCTCACATGGACCCAAACCATAGAGAAGGAAACTGAAGCTGAGAAAAAAGGGACTTGCCAAGGTCAAGCCCAGAAGGGACAGGTGGGCCTTGTCAGGTGCCAGCCTCAGGGGCCAGGGGTACACAGGGGCGAGCAGGGGTCAGGGGAATGCAGGCAGCCCCTCCACAGCTGGCTGTCCCTGCTAGGGGTTCCTGCCACATCCCCCCTTTCTCTGGGCTTTGGAGGGCAGGTGGGGTGCCCCAGTTAGACAGCTGCAGTATGCTTGCTGCCGCATGGAAGGCAGTTCTCAGTGCAGAATCACGGGCCTGTGCTCACCTAGGGAGGCTGGAGTCAGGGCCAGGGCAGGCCGTTTCCTACCCAGGCAGGCACGACTGTGTGGGGGCTACGTCTGCCTTCCACTGCTGAAGAGGCCCCTCATCCCTGCCCAGCCCTGGTTTGGTTGCTCGTCCTTATCCCTCAGCTCGCGGAGACTGGCCCTAAGTGCTGGCCTCACTAAGGCTCAGCTCCCTTGGGGCAGGCAGGGTTGGGCTTGGGCGGGCCTGGGGGCGCCAGCCCCTACGCCCCTTCCGCATGGCCCAGTGACCTTGGCAGACCCCTCTGACCCTGGCGGGCGCTCAGACCCAGCATCTCGGTCCCTTCGGACGGTGAACAAGGTGGGATGCACGAGCAGCAGCCGGGCGCGCTCTGAGCCCACCAAATCCTGAGGCCGAGCGTTCCCATTGGCTTAGGATGACGTCAAAGCCCGCCCACCGCCTCCAGGTGGACGCCGGCTGGAGGCACTGCAGCATCGAGGGAGGGGGCTCTGTCGTCCCTTCTTAGTAGCCGTCTACCCTGCCCGTGACCTTGAGGGCTGCCGGGCCCTCGGCGCGGGGGTGAACTGGGGAGCTAGCATGAGACTGTAGGGGGCCGATCCTTTCCGTCCACGGTATCAATAATTCAGGGGACAGGTCTGCGCGGGCGGTAGGCGCTGACGTCGCCTCGGTGCAGGCGATCGATCCCCTAGTCTGCGGACCAGGCTGGCGGGGTGTGTGTGGGGGGGCTGCTCTTGCTTCTTCCCTCCTGCGGGTGAACGGCTCAGGCCTTGTGCACCTGCTGACCCGGGGGCTGGGAAGAGGTTCCTGGCGCCACTAACCCCTCGGGCTCAAGGATCCAGAGTCGTCCTCTCCCACCCACAAAATAAGCACACCTTCTCGTCCCCAGCCTTGCAGGCACCCCTGCCTGCAGCCAATCGTTTGCAGTGGCCATAGCTGAGACCTCATCGGCCTCCGCCAGGCTGCCACCGAAGTGTTCTGGGGATCACGGAGGAGCCTGGCGCGTAGCTCTTAAGGAAAAAGGAAGCGACCCGTCTGGCGCTAACCAGTTCAGCCACCCAAACAAGCAAGACACCCCTCCCACCCACATGGACAGGAGGGCAGCGGCGTGCAGATACCCACCACCACCCCGGGAAACCCTGCTCAGGGCTCCGTGAGGACACCAGGCAGAGGTCACACGCCAGTGGATGTGCACGCGCATCGCAGAGCCTCGGGGCCACGCGGGCGAGTCGCAGACTCGGCGCATCCCGTCTCTGCAGAGATATCACGGACCCTGCCGTCTCCCCAGGCCCTGGCAGCCCCCAACCACTCCTGCGGGCAAATGGGCATGGAGCCTTCTGAATTGCTTCGGCAAACCCCACGGTGGGCGCCTGCAGGGCCAGTGCGCCGGACACGGGGACAAGGGATGCCTTTCCTCTCGGTCCCAGCTGCACTCACCCCATCCCAGCACTCCGGCATCTTGCGGAGGGAGGCGGCCCCGACTCGAGCAGGAAGGACAAACAAAGCCCTGAGTCACTCCGCGGGAGGGGCAGCTCGGGCGGAGACCGTCGGCTGTGTGATGGGGCCCCCCCCGCTCCCGCGACTTTATACTCGGATCCTGGCCGGGTCGAGGCCGGCCCCTCCTCCCCACGGGATTCCTGAGCTGCCACTTGCTAGCCCCAAGCCCCTGCTCCCAGATTGGCTGATGGGAGACAAATCGCGCTCCAATTGGCTTCCAATGTCCTCAGTCCCCGCATCCGAGCTGCTGCTCCCGCCCCCAGCAACACATAATCCTGGATGGTCCCCCATTATCTCTCCCGCCCCCAGCATCCAGCAGACAGCAGCAGCTGCAGCTGCAGAGAGTCCCAAGAACACAGGGAGA